AAAAATGGATGAACGGGATACCCACATGCAAAAGAATGCAGATGAATCCCTACCTCACACCATATACAAAATGTAACTCAGGAGCACCTGGGTGGCTCAGTCAATTAAGCGTCTGACTTCAACTCAAGTCATGATCTCACAGTTCATGGGTTCAAGCCCCACATCGGGCTCTGTGCTGACAGCTCAGAGCCTGGAGCCTGCTTCAGATTCTGTGTCTCTCTTTCTGCCCCTCCCCTGCTCACATTCTGTTTCTCTCACTCTCAAAAATAAATAAACATTACAATTTTTTTAATGTAACTCAAAATTGAATTGACCAATAACCTAAATGTAATAGCAAAAAACACAAAACTCTTAGAAGAAAATATAAGGATAAATCTTCATGACCAAATCTTGGCTTTGGCAATGAATTTTTAGATATGACAACAAAAGCACAAGCAAGAAAAGAAAAAAATAGGTAAATTTGATAACAAATTGAAAACTGTGCACCAAAGAACACTATCAAGAAAGTAAAAAAAAAAACCACAAACAAAAAAAGAAAGTGAAAAAACAACTTACAGAATTAGAGAAAATGTTTGCAAACTATTTATCTGATAAGGGTCCAGTATGCAGAATATATAAAGAACTCTTACAGCTCACAACAAAAAGACAAAGAACCCAGTTTAAAAACGGGCAAAGGACTTGAGTAGAAACTTCTCCAAGGAAGATATGCAAATGTCCATCAGTCATTAGGGAAATGCAAATAAAAACATAATTAAGGTACAATTTCACACACACTAGGATGGTTATAATAGCAAAACAAAGACCAGAAAACAAGCGTTGGTGAGAATGGAAACATTGGAAACCTCACATAAAACAGTACAGCTCCTATAGAAAACAGTTTTGGAGGTTTCTCAATAGGTTAAACATAGAATAACCATAGGAATCAGGTTTCCATTCCTGGGTATCTACCAGAAGAAGTGAAAACAGGTACTCAAATAAATACTTGCATACACATGCTCACAGCAGCACTATTCACAATAACCAAAAAGTGGAAACAGCTCTCATCAGTGGATAAGTGGGCAAGCAAATTGTGGTATGTCCATACAATAGAATAACTGGCCATAAAAAGGAACGAAGCACCACACAGGCTACAACATGGATGAACCTAAAAATATTATGCTATGTCGTACGTTGTATGATTACATAGATATGAGATACCCAGAATAAGCAAATTCATAGAGACAGGCCATGGACTGAGGGTTTGGCCAGAGCCAGAGAGGGAGCAGGAATGGGAAAGGGCTACTTAGTGGGTATGGGGTTTCCTTTCAAGGGGATAAAAATGTCTTGGAACTAGATAGAGGTTACAGTGGCACAACATTGTTCACTTTGAAATGGTTAATTTTATGTTATATGAGTCTCATCTCAATAATAATTTTTTTTAATTTTTAAATATATTTATTCATTTTTGAGAGAGAGAGCGTGAGCAAGGGAGGGGCAGAGAGACAGAGGGAGACACAGAATCCGAAGCAGGGTCCAGGCTCTGAGCCGTCAGCATAAAGCCCAACATGGGCTCGAACCCACAGACCGTAAGATCATAACCTGAGCCAAAGTGTACGCTTAACCGACTAAGCCACCCAGGTGCCCCTCAATAATAATTATTTAAACCTTATTAGACAAACAATAGAACAATCATTTCCAGGGTGAGGGGGTGGTAGGTAGAGGGATTGGCAGTGCCAAGGAAGGGAAACTCCACGGTCTGTGCAGACACCACCCCACAAAGGGCTCAGAACAGGGAGTCTGGGCAATGGATGGAAACAGGGATAATCCTATAGGCAGAGCAGCTGAAGCCCCAAGTCCCCTACCCCCGCACACACCCCTCCACACACACACACAGCTGGTGACTACCCAAGCCCCATCCTGGCTGGAGCCTGAAGTTGACCTTGATCCTCTGGGGAAATTGAAGGAAACAAAGGGACACACACAACCCAGGAGGAGGTGATTCCCTGGATGGAATTCCCAGCATAGGGCAGCCACTGGGACCCCCTCACCTGAATGGAGCAGGAAGACACAGTTCTTGACATGGGTGTGTCTCTGTAAATGTCCCCATCCTGTAGATGACCCCAGTGAAGACATCCATGGGAAGAATCAGCAAGACTAGTAGACAAAACTTAGCAAGTAAAAATACAAGGCACTCAGGGTGCCTGGGTGGCACAGTTAAGCGTCCGACTTTGGTTCAGGTCATGATCTCACAGTTCATGAGTTTGAATGCTGTCAGCATAGAGACTACGTTAGATGCTCTGTCCCCATCTCTCTCTGCCCCTCCCCCACTAGTGTGCGTGCTCTCTCTCAAAAAAAATAAACATTACACAAAAATAAAAGGCACTTGTGTTTGATATCAGAAAAAAATATATACAAAAATGTTAAATGTGACTTCATGCAATACTTTCATTGCTACCTCTTATCTCAGATGCAATGAATATTTGTGGGGGCACTTGCCCTGGGCACCAGATGCAAAGATGGAAGCCCAGCTGGGAACAGAGTGACTGTGGCTTGGCTCTGGGGAGGAAGGTCACAAAAGTTCAGATCCCTGGTTCCATAATTCTGGGTCAACTCTTACAGTCGGCCTTCTCTTGTTGGGCCCTGGTCATTTAGTGCATTTAAAAAAGTCAGATAAGGCTCAATGAAGAGCCATCTGTCCCTGGTGAGGCCAATGTTGGGATTGCAGTTCCATTAGATGGGTTTTGGCCAAGAACTCAGGGAATTTTGCCTTGCTCTGGCCATCCCTTTGGAACCCCCAAGGGAGCAATGGTGGAGAAGAATAAAACCCCGGAGTCCTTTTGGCCCCAAACCACAAAGGCCTGAAGCTGGGTCAGAGCCCAGAGCCTAGACTGCAGGGCTGAGGGGCCGCTTCCATGGCCCGTACCTAAGAGAGAGAAGAGCCACGGGGCAGAGAGGACCAGCACTGGCTGAAGCACAGCCACCTGGACAAAAGAGGAAGAACAGTGGACCCACCAAATGAGCAGGACCATCAGCTGTGAGGGGCCATGGACCAGCTGGCAGGAGCTGTGGTCACTGGGGCTGTGGTGCTTGGCTCGGGATCCCACCCCTGCAGGAAACCTGGTCCATCCTTTTCTTCTGTAAACCCACCCTGACAGCTAAAGGTGTAGGTGACCAGGAGTGGAGAGCATCGCCACCTCCCGACCCCTGCCATCAATGACAGGGTCACTTTGCGTCCTTTGCTTCATGAGGTCAGGACTGCTGTCGGGGTGCGGTCCCAGAACCGTGAAATGGGTCGGTAATTAAGTCAGCCCTGAGGACCCACTAACTCAGAATCCTTCCCTGTTCTGGTTCTTATTTGGAATTGTGTTTGGTTGTGCTGTCCAAGCTCTGTGGACGAGGGGTGCACTGTGACTACAAGCCATGGAGTCTGGGTGAAGCCAGCTATGCACCACATGCAGGGCTTGACCAACAAGAGGGCAGCCCCATCTGCATTCCCCACAACCAGATGCCACTTGGAAGTCATGGCTCAAGTTCACAAGGAACAGAGCCTGACCCTGCCCTTCTCCCTCTCTCCACATTGCCCCCACCCACCCCCAAGACCCCAGTGGGTCTGGGGTCCTTTCGCTGCCTGAATCTGACAAGTTAGGTGGCCCTGTGACTGCTAAGCCTTCCTTCCAGTCCCAAGCAGGGATGAACCACATCTCCTGTTTATTTCTTTCTTTGATTTTTTTAATGTTTATTTATTTTTGAGAGAGAGACAGAGTGTGAGTCGGGGAGGGGCACAGAGAGAGGAAGACACAGAATCCGAAGCAGGCTCCAGGCTCTGAGCTGTCAGCCCAGAACCCGACATGGGGCTTGAACCACAACCTGTGAGATCATGACCTGAGCCGAAGTCAGACGCTTAACCGACTGAGCCACCCAGGAGCCCCTACCCTGCTGGATCCCACTCTCTTGTTGGGTCTTGTCCTTGCCTCAAGAGCAGGAACCCTTTGGAAAAATCCCCCGAAGGTGAATTTTTACAAGTTGGAAATGTATATTCTATTGCAATTAGTTCCACATTGAGAATGATAATGCAAAGCACCCCCAGACAATCAAGACAAAGTGTAAGAATTGTGTGAAGACCACACGAATGTTCACACACTGGTCACAGCTACTTAATAAATCCTGTGCTGTCTGCAGGCGGAGGGTGCAAAGTGCCTGCCGTGGGAGCTCAGGAGTGGCTGGAGACCTGCCAGGCTGCAAAGGTCAAAATCCTCTTGTAACCAAAGTGGGGGGTGGGGGGGCGGTATTCTATGACACTCCATGAAAACTCAGATCTCCCCACCAATGAGCCTGTGTCATGGGGCTAAATATGTTCTGCTAATCCTCCATTGTCATATTCTGTAGTGACAGATGTGTAAGGACTTTTAAAGAAACTCTTAGTATGGAGACTGATGGCAGAGTTGGAAAACTGTCCCAGGTCCTTGTGTTCTCACTGGTAGCTGGCTGTGGCCTCACCAGGGAGGTGGCCAGGAATGAGGTCTGACCTGGGTGGGCTTGGACTTTCCTCTCTGCCTCTCCAGGACCAGAAGAGCTAAGAGGACCCCCACTGCATGCTATTTCCATGGTCTGGCAGCAGGAGGAAGGACTTGCCCCTTCCTCAACAGGGCCCACAGCAGTGCTGGAGGACCAGGTGGGGTCAGAACAGAGAGCTCTCTGCAAAGGCAACATCCTGGGTGGGCCTTGTGCGCACAAAGCATAGCCTACATTCCTGCTCTCAATGAAGAGCCCAGCCCTCTGGTCCAGGGGCCCTGCCAACAGGAAGTCCTTGGGCCCTGGGTGTGTAGCAGGGCATGGGTCTCCCAGGGCCCACCAGGCTGAGGAGGAAGTTGGCCGGGGCTCTACTAGCTGAGCAAACAACACATTTCTCAGGAGGATGAGGTGGGTGAGGCCCCAGCCTGGGAGAGGGGTGAGGACAGGGTATATGAATCACAGCGAGGCCTGTCTCTGTTCCCAGGAGCAGCCACTGAGCCCAGTCCACCATGGAGCTCACGGCCACCTTCCTGGTGCTGTGTGTGGCTCTGTTCAGTCATCCTGGTGAGTGCCTGCAGGACTTAGTTCCCAGCTCTTCTCTATGGGGCCTTGGCAGAGGCTCTGGTCGGGTCCCCTGTTGCCCCTGCCTTGGGCACAAGGCCACTCCTCTGCTTACCACCTCCTGGGCTCTTCGTCCCTCTGGGCAGGATGTCCTGCTCCTTCCTGGGACTTCAAGGTCCTCTGGGGTCTGCCTGCCCCAGCCCTCAGACTTCCTTTCCTATTCCCACCATTCCTGTTTTCTTCTCTTCACCCAACACCAGGCTGTCCAAGCCTTGGCCAATGCCAGTGCTGGCCCTGGTCGAGGACTACCCATCTGCTCTCTGCTTCTTCCTTCAAGGCACAGCCCAGGTGTCCCCTCATCTGGGAAGCCTGTCTTGGATCCTACTCAGAGCTTTCTTCACCTCCCTCCACCCTCGAGCCACCTTGTATGTCCCTCTGTCCAGCTGCTTGCTTGCTGGGCCACAGCAATCTGCTTACATGACTGCCTCTCCCAACCAGCAGAGGACTCCTCAGGGCTGGGCCTCCCCCAACTCAGACAGGGTAGCTGTCAGTAGGTGGTTAGGGGAGCATGCACAACCTGGAGGAGACAGGCCCTTGGCAGGTCTCCATAGAGGCCCAATCCAGACAGAGGGCTCTTCTCTACTTGTGTTTGCAGCTGCCACTTTCTTCATGGACACAATGGTCAAGCCTGTGGCCTCAGCTCTGACCGACCTCAACCCTGCTGTGGAGGCTGGGGCAGAGGCCCTGGCTGGGGCAGAAGACATAACTGAGACAGCAGCTCTGGCTGGGGCAGGGGCCATGGCCAACCCCCTTCTCAAAGGCTTCAGCCCCCTGAAGTTCATCCTGACCATCCTGGGGATCCCAGTGGAACATCTCATTGAGGGTTCCAGGAAGTGTGTGGCCGAGCTGGGCCCTGAGGCCGTGGGAGCTGTGAAGTCTCTGCTGGTAATGTGGGCACCCTGTGCACCCTCCCTGTGAAGGCAGTCCTCCCCAGCCATCCTCCCAGAGTGGAACGATCTGCTCCTCAAAATGCCACAAAGGCATCCCAGCCCCATGTCAGGGAATACTCGTTGCTGGCCCCCAGAAACAGGATGTCCTTGGGTGGGAACCAAGTTGACCACATACGAATGGCAAGGGGGCTGCTGAGGGCCCTTGGGGGTAAGGTATAACCCTGTTGGGGACTCTGTCCAGAGTCACATCTGTGCCCTCAAGTGCCCAGTGGCAGTGGGATGGAGGAGAGCACACTCAAACTTGGCTTCTCCTTTCCAGGGGTCCCTGATGTACCTTGGCTGAGCGGAGGCTGGAGTATCTCTGCCTGGGGATGATGCTGCCATCTGTAGGCTGGGGACCTGCTGCCCAGCCCTGAACATCCAGCCTTCCTTCCCCTACTCTCTCAATAAACATGGATAAGAGCAGCTTTGAGGCTGATTTCTTCTTGCCTTGATACCAAAGCCTGTTCCTCCCCCTGCTGTAAGTGATGGTGCTAAAGGGGCCTGCAGGTGGGATGGTCCCTATGCCTCAGGAGGTACACCATGCCCCAGATTATGTGAGGGTGCATGCATGTGTGTGAAAGACACTACTGACATTTGGCAGGTGACTCAGAGCCACCAATTAAAGGTGATGGGGATTGGGCAAGTATTAGAGTTAGTTAAAATGGATTTTTCCCCCACCTGTTACACTTCACAATTGTTAATGAAGCATGGGAATTATCTAATCCTTGGAAATCAGTGAGAACCCTCCAAATCTAGCCATTTGTTGCTAATATTTGAAAGTTTTGTTATCTTCCCTCTGACAGCTTTCTTTCCTGGAATGGAGCAGGACTAAGGGAAGACTATGTCATGTTTGGTTTTTCTCTAGGTTTCTGGTAATTTATTACTGAAGTAATTTAGTGACTTTGGGTCCTTCCATTCTACCAGAAGACCCACCATTCCTGGACTGATCCCCAGTGTTGTGGGAAGGTGCCCAGAGCCTGAATATTGATGTCTGTCTTGAGGGAAACTTCCCAGAAAACTCCTTTTTGATTGATAAATTATAACTCCAGGAAAAATATAATTCTGCTTCATGCTTTCTGGGAAGGGTTCTCCCTGGTTTGACTATCAACCCACCGTGGACAATCAAATCCACTTGTACGTATTTTATATGAAAACATGGATCTGGCTTTTTTTCTGTTCCTATTTTCACAAGGACATTCAGGGCTTTAAATGGGGTGGGGGGAGCGGCTGTATTTTGACAAGTTTACACATCAACCTAGAAGAGGGGAGGCAGCCACTGGGATCCAGATTAAATTTAAATCTCTAATCAACACCATTGCCCCCAAGATTCTCAAGGGTTCTGAGTCTTTGTGTAAGGCTCTGGTCTGGACAAAAATGAACCGATAATTAGATGAATCATTATGAATCTCTGGTGAAGAAAGCAGTGGGGACATGACCTGACCTGAAATGACCACAAGCCAATTTCTGGGGACATTACATATGTTCCTCAATTAATGCGCTAGATTAAATTATTCAAGGGGATTACTGGAAAACACCATTCTACTACAGGAGCTTTTTGGAACTGACAGGGGGCTTGGGGGTTCAGGAAAGGACCCCGTCCTGAGATGACCCTGCTACCTTCCATCTCTGGAGCCTTCCCAGGCAAACACTGGAGGGGAAATCACAAAACTCCCTGGAAGAGGGAGTTCATGAATTACACTTGAAACCCCAAGCCTAACAGCAATAGCTAGCTTCCTCCACCCTGCAGATTCCTGGGAAGATACCAACCATAATCCCAGGGAAAGAAGGAATATGGCAGAAGGCTAGATTTCCTTAAATATCCTATTTTGTGGGGCACCTGGGTGACTCAGTCGGTTAAGTGTCTGACTTTGGCTCAGGTCATGATCTCAATGTTCATGAGTTTGAGCCCCGCATCAGGCTTGGTGCTGACAGCTCAGAGCCTAGAGCCTGCTTTGGATTCTGTGTCTCCCTCTCTCTCTGCCCTTTCCCCGCTGGCATTCTGTGTGTGTGTGTCTCTCTCTCTCTCAAAAATAAATTAACACTAAAAAATTTTTAAAAAATCTTTTGCCCATTTGACTTGGTAACTATATAAATATTTTACATGATTCTAAAAGACCAAATAAAAAATTTTAAAGCACTCTAAAAATTGAAATTATAAAAAAAGAGGAACAAACCTAACTTTATTTCTCATGGTGGTATAATCCCCAAAGAGTATTCCAGGGCACCTGGGTGTCTCAGTCTGTAGAGCATATGACTCTTGATCTCAGGTTCATGAGTTTGAGCCTCACGTTGGGCATATAGATTAGTAAAAAATAAATAAGTAAATAAACTATTCCAAGTAACATGAAAATACAGTAATTTAACTCTACATTCAGGGTGGGGGGGGGAGTAACACCCCAAGAATGAGAACAGTAAAAACAATCAAGTTTTTCTTGGTGGTGGTGTTGCTATATTGAGGCTATTATCTGCATATTCTGTGATATGACGAATGATTAATTACCTGAGTGTTATTGAAGAAACTTGAGATTTCTGGCAAAGTGGAAAGAAGGTGCCGATATAAGATTATTAAGGTTCAGTAAAAACTTTAGGGCTCAACATTTGAACCGAAAGTAGAATTATAAATACCTGGTGTGTTTTATCTTCAGAGGAAAAAAAAAAAACTCTTATCTCTGTCCCCTGAAAATTTCTAGAAACTCACAAATCCAGTAGCAATGAGAATCCTCATACCTGGATTGTGGCCTCTAGACACCATTTCTCACTGAAGGAGCCAGGAGTCTTTGGAGAAATGGCTTGTTCCAGAACCTAGAACATCTTTTCATACCAGAATAGAAGTAAGCTACTGAAGACGACCAGGATGGTGCCAAAAAGACACAGGGAACAGTCTGAATAAATCTCTCACTGGCCAAAAATGGGGTAATCTGAACGTCAGTAATGGTAATAAGTGCAATGGATGGCATTAATCACATATGTTTAAACTGTGTGTTTTTGAAACAGAGAGAAAAAAAAATAGCCTGTTTGGTAACATTTTGAGGACACAAGAAAATCAGTTCATCATTCTGAAAACCGAAAAATATTTCAAAATACAAAGTTAAGAAAAATTTAAAAGACAACCAAGAAATTATGCAAGACACATTAACCAATGAAGGGTAAGCATCCTGTGTACATAAAGAACTGTGAATTAACCAGAAAAGGACAAAGTCCTCAATAGGCATAAAATCATAAGAGGAACCTGAAATAGCAAAAATATGTCTGTTATTAATAAAGGAAAGATAAACAGAAACACAATGAAATACCATTATACCCACCAGATTGCCAAAAACGAAGTCGGAGAAAAACAAGCATTGGTAAAGTTGTGGAACAATGGGAAAAATCTCATAAACTTCTGATTGGAGAGTAAGCAGAAACACTTTGGACAGGAATGAGCATATCTAGTAAAAATCACATGCATGCCCCCAACACCTAGCAATTCCAACCTTCTAGAGAAGCTAGCACACAGTGGCACCTACCAGAATGTTCAGACCAGAATGTTTTTAAGGGTTGGGGGAAGGAGAAAGAAAACTAGAAACAACGCAAAGATACCTGCAGAGAAGGGTAGAATTTGGAATATTCATACAATGGCAATATCACACTGCAGCTATTACAACTACATGCATTAACATGAGTGAATCTCAAATAATTGAAATCCCATAAAACTCACCCTTTTGAAGTATATAATTCAAAGGCTTTTTAGACTATTCACAGTATTGTGAAACCATCACTACTATCTAATTTCAGAATATTTTTATCACTCCAAAAAGAAACTCAGTCTTCTTGGAGAATGTCTATTCAAATCCTTTACTCATTTAAAAAAAAAAAAAAAAAAACTTTTTTAATGTTTTTATTTTATTTATGAGAGAGACAGAGAGCGTGTGTGATTGGGGGAGGTGCAGAGACAGAGGGAGACACAGAATCCAAAGCAGGCTCCAGGCTCCGAGCTGTCATTACAGAGCCCGACATGGGGCTTGAACCCACAAACTGTGAGATCATGACCTGAGCTGAAGCCAGACGCTTAACCGACTGAGCCACCCAGGCACCCCTCCTTTACCCATTTTTAAATTGGGTTGTTTTTCCATCGTTGAGTTGTAAGAGTTCTTTATATATTCTGGAGACCAGACTCATCAGATACATGGTTTATAAATATTTTCTCCCATTCTGTGGGCTGTTGTTCCACATTCTTTTCCTTTGATGCACAGAAGTTTTTCATTCTGATGAAGTCTAATTATCTGTTTTCCTCCCTTCGGTTGCTTGCACTTTAAGATGTCTTACCCAAGAAACTATTGCTCAACCCAAGGTCATGAAGATTTATACCATGTTTTTTCCTAGGGGATTTTATAGTTTTAGCTCTTAGATTTTTTTTTATTCCTTTTACTTTTTGTACGTAGTGTGAGAATGAGGTCCAGCTTCATTCTTCTGCTTATGGACACTAATCCTTTCCGTACTTAGGTGTCTTGGCACTTTTGTCACAGATCAATTGACCATAGATGTAAGAGTTTATTTCTGGCCTCTCAATTCAATTCCATTGATCTATATGCTATCCTTAGGCCAATACCACACTTCTTGATTATTGTAGCTTTGTAATACATTTGAACTCAGGAAGTTTGAGTCTTCGAACTTTGTTCTTTTTCAATATTGTTTGGCTATTTGGAGTTCCTTGGATTTCCATGAATTTTAAGATCAGCTTGACAATTTCTGCAACAAACAAAAAGCCAGCTGTAATTTTGATAGGGACTACACTGAATCTGTAGATCAGTTTGGGGAGCATCACCATTTCAATAGTAGTAAGTGTTTCAGTCCATGAACATGAAAAGTCTTAACACTTAATTAGGTGTTCTTTCAATGTTTTATAATTTCCAATGTACCAGGCTTCCACTTCTTTCACTAAATTTCTTCTCAAGCATTTAATTGTTTATTGTTATTGTAATGCAATTGCTTTCTTAATTTTATTTTTGGTTTGTTCATTGCTAGTGAATTGAAATACAATGATTTTTGTATATTGATCTTGTTTCCATTAACCTTGCTGAATTCATTTATTAGTTCTAATAGGTTTTTGGTATGTGGATTACCTGGAGTTTTCTATATACAAGAACATATCATCTACAGATATAGTTTTACTTCTTCCTCTCAGATTTTATTACTTTCTTTTTTTTGCCTAATTTCCCTGGCTAGAGCATCTGGCATAATGTTGAATAGAAGTGGCAAGAGTAAACATCTTGTCTTTTTTCTGATCTTAGGGGGAGAGCCTTCACTCTCTCACCATTAAGT